CCATATTATTATTATTATTTGATCCATAAAATCACCGTCAATGGTTGAGATCTTTATATATAAAGCCGATGATATATGTGTGATTTATCACAAACTGGAAGACATGCAAGTGGTGTGAAAAGCAACAAGCTGGCAGAAGAAGCATCAAAGAAAGATATGACTACAGATGAACATATAGAAAACGGAGGTGATGATGAAGATTCCTGACCAACAACAACAGACAACAATCAGTATAAGTGGGAGAAAGCTGAAGGAAGCCAACTCCTCTACCTACCTATCGACCTGGGAAGCATCGTTTCAACTACAGGCGGATGGAACTGGTGAGGATATCAGAGCATCAAGGATCAGGAAAGCAAGGCAAGCTTTCATTACTCTCAAGTCAGTGTGAAGATTAACACTCAGCACTCAACGTGAAAAATAAAATCACGATTTCCAACTCCAATCTGAAGTCAGTGCTACTCACTATACGGATCAAAGACTTGGTGACATTTCACGAAGAGCACTTCAAACAAACTACAGACCTTCATCAATAGCTGTCTGCACTCGATACTACTCAAGATTAGATGGCCGGTCAGAAAAGATCAGCAACAGGGATCACTGAGAACGAATCAACCTATCAGGAACCGATGGTGCAACAAATATGCAAGAAGAAATGGAGGTGGATTGGTTGGCCATACTGTGAGAAAACAAACCATCAAGTGAGTGATATCACACAACAGACCATCGCTCCAGTGGAACCCGACCTAATGGGAAGCGACGAGTTGGTCGTCAGTGCGAGGGTGAAATGGAGAAGGTCATATGAAGAGGAGATGAAAGCATATGGGCAGACGTGGAGCCAGGTGAAAACTGAACACAATGGAGATGTGCGGCTGAAGCCCTATGTTCCTCTAGGAACTAAAGGAAATAATAATAATATTACAATAATGTAAATTAGAGTAAAACCTGATGAATGCCTAATCAGCATAGTATCTGAACTCACATTACTAATCAATTCATACATATAAAATATTTCTTTTTTCTGTAAAATGGGTGAAAGCGTTTTACTGACCTTTGATGGAGTCTTCAACTCAAATGAAATAACTGTCCAGAGTTCTCTAGGATAGTTAAAAACATGCCGAAAGGTCTACGTCTTAGAGGATCAGCTTGGTTAAAAAACCATCGTAACTGAACACCTAGCTGTTATAGGAAACCAGATCATAACACCAGACTCTTTCAAGGTGGTGAATGCACAATTACTACTAATCTGAATTGCTGAGACAGTTGCCGTGCATAAGAGTGAGGTTCAAATTATGCGCATTACTACCTTGCTAAGCACTGAATCGCTCAGTCCACCTTTTCGAAATTTCAGTCCAGCTTTTTGCGGTTAAGTCGAAAGTTTGCGTCTATCCGTTTCCATTCCTAACTTTATCAATGCCCTTTGATCTTTGACTTTTCCAAATATGTTTAAATAACTACCCCTTTAAACCCAAGTTCATCTTTAACTTTCAGAAAATAACATCTCTATTTTGATCAAAATTGATTATCCCAACTTCCTGTCTAATTTGCTCATGTCATTCAATTGGTATAATATTATATGTACTGGCTGTCAGGTCAAAATACGCTTAAAAACTATGTCAGTAGCACAGTGGTAGGATATTCGGCAGCCACAGCCTACTGACACCTAAATCTCGCCTAACCAAGAGTAAGACCGGGAAAAGAGGTTAGGTTAGGAGTGAGGCTAGCAATCCCACACAAAAAGAACAACTTCAAGGTCTCAGGTTCTATCGCTGGTGAGACTGTGGGTATTACTATTATTATTATTTAAACATAGAAAACGTGGTACAATATGGCACCAAGAATGATGCGCCACACAATAATAATAAGGCGACATAGATTAAAACTCAAAAATATAGATGGAGAACGAAAAAAACATCTTCATCTGGAAGGAAAACAGTCATACTTAACAAGTTCAAACAGTATTCGTCAACTATCATCAGGAAGGGAAGAAAGAAGGAAATTACAACACGTTCGCCACTGATTACGATTCTTGGCCATATCCAATGACGTTTCGAGCCATCGATTCGGGTTGTCTCTCCGACTCCAACCAGGGAGTCGTGGCGCACTAACCGATACTAACCTAACACAAATATCTTTCATCCCACGACGCCACGTCATGGACTGACCACCCCTCCGCCTTTTCCATCCCGTCCTAGGACTGGCTAGCGAACAGAGACCTGTACAGAAGCAACATATGTCCAAGCCACCAAACCCAGTGTTTCCAGATTACAACTGTAAGCGCAATATCGCTTGAAATTAAGTCACGCGTAGATAAAGGCTATCCCGGTCCAGAACAAACAAGAAGCCGGTCACTGTTTCTACGGTACTATTAATAATAATTATATATACAACAAACCTTAACGGTTTCAAGAGTACAAAGCACAACGCTTAACAGAAGGCAAGGTACCGCTATCAGAGCGGAATAACGTTAAAGCCAAAATTGCGAACTAGCCGGATCAGACACGACCGTTCAGGTAAGCAGTCAGTAGAAGAATGAACCGAAGTAAGAGATAGACAGAGCATAGGCACAAAGATAGAATTTAACTGGCTACTTAACCAATCAAGAAATAAGATAAACTCGGCAGAATAGTACAAAATAAGACATGGGTCAGCAAAATAACAGTTCACAAAAATACTCTGATTGGGTCATGAGTTCAACTGTTTGACTAAGCAGATCGAAGTAAAAACACACACATAGTTCATAAAACAAGGTGGGATAGACACGTTAGGCATGGATAATTGGGTTGCAACAACGCTAGGCTGATCCGGGACAGGTTGACTTGATTCAAGGATGGGAATTGAATTGATCTTACAACGACACTCAACGAATAGTGATCTCCACTGTGTCCAAACACACACGCCGCTGAGCCTCAGAATCACTCACGCGATGATGCCATAGAACGCAAGCAATCCTGTGGAGACAGCGGTGATTGAATATGCAGAGTCGCCGCACATCCTCAGCTCGGAGAAGCCAGGTTTCACAGGTGTAGAGCAAGACAGCCTGCACCGAAGCATTGTATACCCGACCACCTTTGACAGCCAGCCTAAAGCCGCGACAGCACCAGAGGTGTCTCAAGTTCGTGTATGCCACCCTAGCCTTCATGATACAGTTGGAAATCTCATCTGTCACCCCACCGCCAGCACTTACACAACTACCAAGATACGCAAACTTATCAACAGCTTCAAGTGGTTCACATGCAAGAGTGAGTACAGGTACAACCTCCTGCCAATCTTGTAACGGTACTTAGCTCTTAGACAGCCCAAAGCACATACCATACTTCTAGACACTGCATACATCCGTTTCCAATCTTAACTTTATAAGTGCCCTTTGATCCTTGACTTCTCCCACTTTTTTTGAATAATCACCACTTCTCCCGAGAGTGCACCTTTAAATTCTAAAATAAAATCTCTATTTTGATCATAATTGATTGTTCCAACTTCCTGTGTAATAGGCGCACTGTGGGTGCGCGATGCTGAAGAGTCAGACTCTACAGCACCCGCCCCAGGGGTCCGAACCTAGGACCTTCCGGTCGAGAGACCAGCCCGTAGACCATTTTTTAGGCACTGAGACAAGATCAAATGATCAGCCCACGGATTCCATGTATTATATTTATTTAGAGCAACCACCAGTCAGTGTCACAGACTAGTAACTGTCCCCTTGCTTGGTTTGAACCATTGGAAAACTAAGAGGACAGCCACTTGCCAATGATAATAGTTAATGGTTGAGCAAATAAATATATACATCACGAACTGACACAAGTTGGAATTTGTCGGCTGGTTATTGCATCGGGTCCCAGTGGTTGAATGGTCTACCAGCTGACCTGGTAACCAGAAGGTCATGGGTTCGAACCCCTATGGTCGATGAGTACTGTTACCGAAGGGTCCCAAACTAGGAGGACAAAACAGCTGTTTATTACTCTCTAACTGGTTTTCAGTGGTTCTCCAACCGATGTCATCTTATGATGAAATCCTGTAATGAGAAGTATGTAAAAATTGTACGTAACTCTTTGACTTCTACCCCCCACCATCCACTGCCTTGTCTATCTGGAAGTGTGTGGGCGGTTGTTACTTCCCGGCTGCCCACACCGTGGGAGTTGATTGATTCTTTGGGTACCTGAAACAGAAAGAGGGTTAGTGTTGCAAGACCGCAGAGCCCAGGGGACAACTCTTTGAGGACGGCCACACACGACCTGTATTAACTGGTTTCTGGGATTGGTTCCGCATTAGTAAACTTACCGCCGGTTACGGACCGCCGTAGGGTAAGTCGGGATGTACAAATTTTGGGGTCGACCTTTTCTAACCCCTACTCTCCGGAGTGGAGAGACAGCATAGTTGGCATGCTGGTCATCTGAGGGAAACACCTCACTGGTGTTACACTCCTGTTCCCCAGCAGTACGACTTCGCCCACAGACTCCCACCAGCATAGTGTAAGAAAGATTCTTACACAATGCCGGTAACTGCTTTTAGTCTAATCGCTATCCTAACAACCTTCCTGGCATGGTAGGACCTGCAGGAACAATGGTTCCAGCCAGTGCAGCTTGTTGGGTCATCGCGATGTGCAAGCCCGATCACCATGTCAAGGTAGCAGCTATCGGTCAGGCCTCCACTGCCTTACCTAACACTCAACGCCTAACCTCAATATTATTCACCCTATGGCACCACAGCCATAAAGAACAACAGAGAGAACTGTCACATAGTACATATGTCCGCTGATCTACACAGCCGGATACCAGGTCTACTCTCAAGAGGGATGACATAATAGTTGGAAAAATGCCAATATACTCATCCTTAAACTAGAAATTGATTCACACCAGTCCCGCCTATTACTCCTCAATCACACAAACTCTTAGCTAAACGCTGTTAGTAAACATAAATACGACTGTACAACCATTGAAGATGTCTACACTGTCATCATCACCGAAAAAGAAGATTCATTGGTGAGAGAGAAAGAATACACAATACTAACTGATGACTAAATGTATATTTATTTATTTAATTATTTTCATTTAGAAAAACAAACAAACACACAAACAATTCTCATGAAATTTTGTTGTATTTTTTGCGGGGGTGGGGGTGACGGGGGATGGAGATTGCAAAAACATGGAAAATAAGTTCAAATGAAATCTGTTCAGTGTTGTCTGTCTGCCTGTCTGCTTTGCATTTTGCCTTCTCCTATCCTGTCTACACACTCAACTAACAGCATTAAGCAGCCACTTCAATCAATTCTTGTGGCAATGGACTTTTAGGATGTTTATTTTCAAAGTGTTGTTTATACGTTTTCAAATCAGGCACTTGAGTTTTACACACAGGACATGTGTAATTCAATGCTTTAGCAGCCGCCTTCTTCTGATCAATATTAGACTTTTTCATTTCTGCTTGCTTTTTAGCATTTTTCTGTTGACTTTGTATTTTTTGTTGACCACGTGCCATTATAATATACTACTAATGAAGGTTTTAAAAACAAAAGAACAAACGAAAAGGGTAGAGTGAGAATTCGAAGATATAACGAATATGCTGTATGAAAAAATATGAATATAAATGAAAATGTATATTCAATTGTACTTCAGATTTTCCCGTCGATTGAATGGACTGAAGTGTTTGGTCTCAGGTTGATATGTTGGCTTCTTGTGCAGATGCTTCGACGATGTCTAGGTATGCAATTAGAATTTAAATTGATGGATAGTGACTGGCAGTAGAAGTGGCTCTTGTGGCCCAAGTGGTCTAGTGGATAACGCTTTGGAGGATTGAAACTATGTGCATTGGGTTCAAGCCTCGATGGGAACATCATCACTCACTGGGGGAACGCAGGTACATCCGGCTGACGAGTCCCAAGCAGGATGAAACGCACATCCTGGATTCCCCGGGAATCACTGAAAACGGACCCAGAGGCTGCCGCAGATGCGTTCAAGGTTTGGAAAGAAGGAAAGGTACTTCCAGATTGAAAGAAAGGCTACCTCGTCAAGCTACCAAAAAAGGGCAAACGAGTTAGGCCTGTGCAAGAACTGGCGTGGAATCATGCTCTTATCCATGCCAAGTGAAATACTAAGTCGCATCATCCTGGAGAGAATAAAGGATGGACTGGATACAGAACTCTCCCAGTCACACCGGAACAAGCTGGATTCAGGAAAGGCAAATCATGTGCTGATCAAATTGTAATACTATGCATCACCATCATAGAACAAAGTATAAAATGGAAGTCAAATCTCTACGTCAACAAATTCAACGACTTCGAAAGACACTCTTGACCTAGACGTAATTCGGAAACTACTTCAACACTACGGCGTACAACCCCCAAATCTTTACCAACCTCATTCAACAGTTGGCTATATGAGAATTCCAAGTGACAGGTGATCCATAAAGGAAAACTCAGAGAGGTGGACGAAGTGAATACAGGAGTAAGACAAGGTTGGCTGATTGCCTATTATCAACGATGATATTCTTAAATGTGGTGGACTGGATTATCCGTCAGACTGTGGGGAGCTAGGAGTCAGGAATATACTAGACCACTGGTAAGAAGACTCTAGAAGATCTGGATTTCGCAGATAATGCTTAATGTCAAACAAACTCGAAGACTTACAGGCGAAAACCAACAAACTAGCTGAAGAGGCAGCGAAGACAGGACTACGGGTGAACATGGGCTAGTTTTGCATATGCCAGTTTACGCCGTCTTTGGCGTAGACGTGATATCCGACTATCGACCAAAGGGAGTGTGTACTGCTAATCCATCCGCTCCGTCCTCCTCTATGGCTGTGAGACCTGGCCATTGAGAGAGGAAGACATGAAAAGATTGGCTGCCTTTGATCATAGGTGTTTGCGTTCTATCTCCCGTGTGAAGTGGTATAATAAGGTGAGCAATATTGAGGTTAGGCATCTGTCGGGTGCTAGGTTAGGAGGGGAAATCAGTCTACGAGACTGTGAAATTACATCGTCTCAGATGGTTAGGACATGTGTTGTGCATGCATGTCTAGTCATCACCTTCCTCGACGGGCAATGTTAGCTGACACAGGGTCAGGCTGGAAAAGAGCTAGCGGCGGTCAAACGAAAGCATGGCACCAGTCAATGAAATCTACAACAATTAGTCTAAGCCACGTAGGAAGGCGTAGACTTCCTGGTTGGGGTCCTCGGGACGGTAAAAACCAATGGTTGGAAACAATTGGTGACATGGCTCAAAATCGTTCTCAGTGGCGCAGATGCATCCACTCCTTGTGACTTCTGATTTCCAATGAAACTGTTTTGTTCTTCGTTATTACTATACCTTTGTCTCACATCTCTGTTTACTGACTATATTATGCATTTCTTCTACTTTCTTCTCTTGCTGTGTGTGCTACAAGGAGGGAGTGTGGCGACTTGAACTGCCAGACATCGTTGCAAAGTTCTATGTCGAAAACAGACAGACAGATAGACGGGTGAACATAGAGAAGACAGAGGTGATAACGATAACCAATGAACAGAAACGATAACCAGTACCAATCACCATCAACGGGAGAGATCTAACAAAAGTTACCTCCTTCACTTATCTAGGAAGCATTGTTTCAACTACGGGCTGTCGGAAGGAATGAAGATGTCAAGGTCATTCAGAACTGGAAAGGTAAGATACGCCTTCACCAAACCAGTATAAAGAGCAAGATTTGCATTTCCAACACTAGTATCAAGTCGGTCCTTTTGTACGGGTGAGAAACTTGGTGTGTAGTGGAAAAGATTTCCAACAGGTTGCAGACTTTCATCAACAACTGAAGATCAAATGGCCAGAAGGAGTTAGTAACAAGAAACTGTGGGAACAAACCGATCGAGACGATTGCTCAATTAACTTGTAGCAGAAAATAGAGATGGACCGGGCATTCATTAACGGGGCCGTCGAAACGATATCGCGCGCCAGGCCCTCGAGTGGAATCCAAATAGGGAACAACGAGTGGGTTGTCGGTGCAAGGGTGACATGGAGGAGGTCATGTGAAGAAGAGATTAGAGAGTTTGGACAATCTTGGACCCAGCTGAAGATGATAGCAGAAAATGGAACAAAGTGAAGATTTGTTGTTGAAGCTCTATGTTCCACTCGGAACCCAAGGGAAAAACAAAGTAAATAAATGATCAAGAGTCAGGAGTCTTTGTAGCACTCCTGCTTTGCGGAAAATAGAGAAGAAATATCTTACGGTCGTCTTCCAGGGAAAAATGGATATTCACGAAACTTCATTACAGGCATCTACCTTTGACTCAACCAACTTAATCAAAAACGTCCGATGAAAAAATAAAGAAAATTGTCCTACCTATCATCGAAATCACTGCAAAACCATTCAAACCTTTCGGAATCGATATCGAACATTTCAACAGAGGAAGCGGTGAAAACCAACATCTTCAACATAAATTCCGAAGACTGCGAAAAACATAATACTGGTAAATGTGAACGTTCTCTCGGTCTTAGCATCCATGAACATAAACTGGCTATTGAACGACATATCGCTGCTTACAGGCAACCACGGACACAAAGTCGATTGAATGAATGTTCAAGTTTTAGACAGAGGAAACACCGAAAATACCAGAGAATTTCTAGCCGCCTGTCATTTAAATGAATCGGTAATCAACAGATGCACTGATATAAATAAATTTATCAATCCATAAGACGGAAATCACATGAAGAAAAGGTTAAATTTCAGGTCAAGGAAACAATCAATACTAATACAAGCAGACTAGAGGGTGTGAAAACACACAAAGACAACCAATCATGTTCAGGGTCACCCACCAGGAGGGATGGCTAATAAACTCTTGGAGAAATCTAAAATTTCACTTCAAATTGATGTATGCAATGAAGATGTTGCCTAGTAAGGCAACCAAGAATTCGCAAGTAAACTATTCAGCTCAGAGAACACAAAATACATTAGTAAACATTGTCTAAAATGTCATTGGGGTATTAGAAACAATCCCTTTACGTTCTAAGTGGAACATACAACTTCAAGCTTCAGCTCTGAAGTTTTATTAGAGGTGGCGTTGTTGTTGTTTTTAGGAGGTGAAGTTTCTAGCCTCACTTATTTATTTCAATAAAAGCATAAAACTGGTACACTGAGGGCACCAAAAGATAAGCCACACGAAATTATCTCAGAGTGTGTGCAAAAGCTAGGACAGAAACAGTCGGTTGTCTTAAGGGACTACCCTATCCCACCTCCAAGCCTTGTACTTGAAGTCTAATCCACAAGGCGGTGGACAATTGTCAACTCGTACGTTTCGATGGTCTCTAGTGACCAAAACAGGTCCATACGCCATTATATCCTTCCGGAATTTGTGTTTTGCAGCTCCGCCAGATTGACTTGTGTGTTCACTAGTACAGTTGTAAGCACCAGACGTTTACACTCGCCATTTCACTCTTGTGATGAACACCCTCACCATGTTAAGCCAGTAAATTGAACTTACCTGTCAGAGGCTATGAATGCGTGGTCACATGTGAGCATTTCAACAGGAAGACTGGAGGCAATCTACCTTGAGCAGTATTAGGTCGTTTATGGGAGCCTACTACTATTGGCAATAAAGCAAGGCAAGATGTCGGCCAAAGACACCAACCGGGAATACAACTTGGATCACCTTAATAGATGGTGAGTACTCAGACAATAAACCACTAACACATAAGCAAAGATTCGGAGGTGGCCCCATAAGACAGTTGCTTGCTTCGATCCCGGTATGCCGGTAGTATTTCAGCTTTCGCATTAACGTTGAGATTTCGCTTAATGCTCATGGTGTAACAGGTTTGCGTTTTCATAAAAATAATAACATGAAAATGCAGTAGTTAGAAAAGTGTGATATCACAATTAAGGTCAAAGTAGTGTAGAAATAAATGTGCACTACTGCAATCGATCCCACATACCACCATATCTGATTATCTGGTTGATTAATCAATCCACGTGAGACTTCACAGAAGTAAACACATAAATGAAGAGAATAGAAATGTAACGATACTACAATGAACATATACTGCTGTGAAGCAGAGCACAACTAACAAGAGTTATTCGGAATCTGGAAAATTGCATACATTTGTCCCAAATAGGATAATTTCGAGCTGTTATTAAGAGTTCTCAAAACCCCTGAGTTTTAGTACCGCTATATGAACGACAGCTAGCACTTTCATCCATTTGTGTCGTATTTGATTTTTGAAACCTCTAAACTCTTTTCCAAACAAGTGACAGTCGATTCCACATGTGTGTAACACGGTCGAAGCCATCTGAATCAATGAAGATCGATAACCTCATCAACTGACTGATATTACTACGTTTAGTTTCAATCTTATTTAGTATACAATTTTGATTGACATCAGAGACTAAAAATTTATAGTCTTCGTATATCCCCTCACTTCAGAAGCCATGTTTCACAAAGCAAAATGCTACGCTTTCCAGTGGGTAGATATCTGGAGGGGAAAAAAATGAAGCTGGTTAAGAAATGTCAGTTACTAG